TCTTCGAAATACATTTTTTGGAAATAGATTTCTTTAGAATACATTTTTTGAAAATAAATGTCTTCGAAATACATTTTTTGGAAATAAATTTCTTTACAATACATTTTTTGAAAATAAATCTCTTCGAAATAAATTTTTTAGAAATAAATTTCTTCGAAATACATTTTTTAAAAATAAATTTCTTCGAAATACATTTTTTAGAAATAAATTTCTTTAGAATACATTTGTTGAATATAAATCTCTTCGAAATATATTTTGAAAATAAATTTCTTTAGAATACATTTTTTGAAAATAAATCTCTTCAAAATACATTTTTTGAAAATAAATCTCTTCAAAATACATTTTTCGAAAATAAATTTCTTTAGAATACATATTTTGAAAATAAATCTCTTCAAAATAAATTTCTTTATAATAATACATTTTTTGGAAATAAATCTTTTCGAAATACATTTTCAAAAAACAAGTATCTATAAAATACACTTTCCAAAAATGAATTTCTTTGAAAATACATCTTCCTCAAAACCCATTTCCGTAAGACACACTATCAAAAAATACGTATCGTTCATTCTACGTCCGTCTAGAACCCAAAAAACGAATCGGTTGTTCGTCTTATCACGTTTTACACCAGCGGTTAGAGTAGCGATGAAAGAATATGGCGGTCGACGAGCGAACGTGAATGAAAACAAGTGTGAACCACAATGTAATTGTTAAATCGCATACCGCAGACTGCCTAAGCGATTGAAAAATAGAAACGTGTGTGAAATGTAAACGACGAGACAAATATGCGTTTCGACGATAGAGCAGATCACAAAAAAAGAGTCGTTTCGAACACATACACAGTCTTGAGTAAACGGTCCGAGTAACTCTGATTCGTTATCATAAACGTTATCATTCGTAACAGGGCAACATGATTAAAAAACAGCTAATTCTCAACGCTAATTCTATGTTCGTTCAACGATCAGCGTTTAACTCGAACAAATCGAACGGAAAAGCTCCACCAAAATCATAAAGTACATAAGTAACGAACAAGAGGGGGGTGGGGGTGGGGGGAAATTCATTCGTGTAAAAGCTTACGATATAACACGTTCGATCGAATGTTTCGGCAAAACCTTGTTTCGGCAGAATCGACAACAAATTGAACGGAAACGGAACGGAACCGAATGAAACGAAAGCGAAAGGAACGATAAAACGGAACGTAAAAATCAGGAAAAAATTGAACGAATCGCTTAGAAACGATTAGAAAGAAATGCGTGGCTTTGCATGAGTTTATCAAGAGCCGCGCCCCGATCGACCGTCGAGATCGCGGCCAGCGGACAACAGAGAGAGATTCGAGAAACGGGTGCACGTTCCGTCGACGGATTTCCTCCGAGCAAATTTTCGTTTGGTCTCGTCCCCCCCCTCCGCCGCGAGAAATTCTCTTTCGGGGGTGATCGCTATCAAAGTTAAATGCGAACAACAGATGGAAACAGTTTCTATGCGAAGCGGCGGTTGGCTGCGCTGCCTGCGTTTGCCTATCGAACAAAGAGTAATCTAATCCGGTCTGTATACAACTGAGAAACAGGTTTCGTACGGCAAACAGTAATTGAAGCACTAACATGCAAGTCGCACGCATAGTACAGCGCCATAAACTCGTGCCAACTATATTCGACATGAAAGTAAATCCAAGACTTGAGTTTCATCTTTTGAACACTGATTAATGTCGGGGTTTAGGAAAACTGTTTTCGACTATAAACGAAAAAGAAAAGGAGCATGCTGCGAGATACAAGGCTCCGGGTACGGGAGAGCTCGAACAAGTATAGAGTGTCGGGGCTGTTATGTGTATGCGAACCTTCCGGTTGGTTAGCGACGGGTCGCGGCGCTCGTACCGGCGCCTAGCATCGGTATCGATCAACATAATAGCCCTGAGGAAACTATTATAGAAACTGTGAAATGTATCGCCGCAAACGAAGGAAAACCAAAAGGAAACATTATCACGATCTCTCCTTAACGAGCGGTCGTTTCATGCAAACTACAGGGTGCCCTGAAAGTCGCGAGCGAGGTCAACGGGTTCCTCGGGTCGTTTCGAGTAACTTTTTCATTTGCGAAAATGTTCTACGAGGCTTCGTTTACGAGTTATCAGCGAGTAAACGTTGACCAATAATGAGAGGCGAGCGCGGCTGGCGCCCCGCCCTCGCGACCATTGCCGCCGCGTCGGGCGGCCGGCACGACGCGGAGCGTCGACCGCGCTCGCTCTCCGATTGGTCGGCGTCTTTCGCTAATAACTCGTAAACGAAGCCTCGTAGAACATTTTCGCTAAGGAAAAAGTTGCTCCAGATGACCTCAGGAATCCCTGATTTCGTGATTACGCGCGACTTTTGGGACACTCTGTATAGAGGATCGTCGTCCTCGCTCTTTTTCTCTCTCATTCTCTCTCTCTCACTCTTTCTTTTCCTTGCTCTCATCAGCTCTTTCTCTCTGCACGATTAGGTCAGCCTGACTGATATATAGCGCATGGAGACGGCGACTCGCAAATGAGCAACTGACAGGTAAGTAAAGATGTTTCAACATGCCAGGCGCGTCAGACCGAGAAGTTGTAATGGTAGTCAGTTAAATAGGCAGGGACCAGGATTATTTTTTACACGTTTACACAGAGCACGGATCCGCCGCGTCGCCGCGGCCAATTCGTTGCGACTCGCGATCGCGCGCCAACGATTATTCTCGCGGCGGCGATAGCGAAACGATGCGAGAAAATAACGAAAAAGAAAAAGAGAAAAGAATATACAGGGTGTCCCAAAAATGTCTCGCAACCCGGAAATGTCGGGTTCCTCGGATCATTTGAAGCAGCTTCTTCCTTTGCAAAAATTTTCTCCGAGGCACCGTTAACGAGTTATTAACGAAAAAACAGTGACCAATAAGAATCGAGTACGGCTGGCGCGAGACGGCCCAGCCAATCAGCGTACGAAGCCCAGTTCCGCTCATTGGCTCGGTCGCCTCGCGCCAGCCGAACTCGCCTCTCTTTGGTCACTGTTTTTCGTTAATAACTCGTTAACGGTGCCTCGGAGAAAATTTTTGTAAAGGAAAAAGTTGCTTCAAATGACTTGAGGAACCCGCCACTTTCGGATTGGGAGACATTTTTGGGACACCCTGTAGAGAACCGGCGCGGCGGATCGAGACGCGGCCCGGGCAACTATTTGCAACTGGCTAAAAAATAATCCTTCGTTTAAAGGCGACTAGTGGTGTCTTTGGTAAATAATCGATTCTCATGCAGCAAAGATAGATAGTCTTGTAAGTTGATATAAGTATCGTAACAAAGCCACCACAGTAAAGAAACAGAGGGTACGTATTGTTAAGACTCACCCATAAAGTCTGCTGTCCCGCAAGCTGCTCCTGCTCCAAATAACACAGAAAGCACAATTACGATATGTAACCAGACAGATGAACATAGATTCGTCAATTTTGTTTGTCCGTTCGTTCGTTCGTTTGTTCGTTGATTCGTTTGTTAGCGATTTTGTTGGTTTGTTGGCTGGTTGGTTTGTTAGTTAACCCTTAGGGGACCAAAACTATTTATTTGCAGTTTACGCACTGCCAAGTCCGGACTGTTTTTCAGACGAAGAGAAATTTTTTACTGAAAATTTTTCTATCAGATATAGAGAAGAGACATTCATTTTTTAAAAATAAAACTTCGTTGATATATTTTCATCGAAACAATCGTGCCCATTCGTCCAATGTTTTCTGCCAGATTTTACGGTTTTATTGATTTCTGCCGCGTGTATGGCGGCATTGGACCGTTAAGGGTTAGTTTTTGCGTTAGTTAGCATTGTTCCGTTAGCCGGTGGTCTGTTCGCGTGTGTCCGTTGCGTTGGTCTCGTGTCCAGTAATGAAATACGTAATACGGAAGTTCAACTAAAAAGGATTTACCAGAACCATTGGATAACAATTTATTTAAATAATACATGTACAATACGCTAAACAAATAAATATAATAGTATCCAGTTGGCCTTGAGGAATTGTACGTAACAATAAGGACTATGAAGCGTTCAAAGCGTTCAGCACGTTTTACAAATGAATATATGTATACGTGTGTATATATAGATATATATGTGTATATAGATACATATATATACACATGCATATACACATACAGGGAGTCTCGAAAATGTCTCACAATCCGGAAATGGCAGGTTGCTCGGATCATTTGAAACAACTTCTTTCGTTACAAAAATTTTCTCCGAGGCACCGTTAACGAGTTATTAACGAAAAAACAGTGACCAATAAGAATCGAGTACGGCTGATGCGAGGCGGCCCAGCCAACCAGCGCACAAAGCCTAGTTCCGCTCATTGGCTCGGTCGCCTCGCACCAGCCGAGCTCGTCTCTCATTGGTCACTGTTTTTCATTGATAATTCGTTAACGGTGCCTCGGAGAAAATTTTTGTAAAGGAAGTAGTTGCTTCAAATGATCCGAGGAACCCGCCATTTCCGAATTGCGAGACATTTTTGGGACACCCTGTATATACATATATGTAGGTAGAGTTAAGCGGAAATGTAAAATAAATCATAAAGCGAAGGTAAAACAAGCGATCGTAGATTGCTTCGAGCTATCGTGTTCCACGAGCACAGGCCGCGGAGAGCGTGTCCGTAATGTATACCACGGAGAAATTTTTGTCGGCCCGTAAAACGCGAGATTTATCGGTCAGAATTTTCATATATTTCTCGTCGATCATGTTCCGGCTATTCGTTTCCTTCGAGGGGATATTTCCCCGCGGCGGCGAAACGTTCGCCTGAATCTCCCGCGTTCATAGATCACGATGGAAAAATGCCGGGTTCGCTGTGTTTTGCTCGTCGCGAATCTACGGGAACGGTGTTCTACCTTCTGCGTTCGTTACAAGAAAGACTTTGCTCGGTGTAACGGTAGAAGCCGAGGAGGGATAGTCGGCGAATACTACGACGGTATTTATGAACAATTAAACTGTCACTATACACAACCATGCGACAATCAGCGTGAACGATTTCACGGGAAACGTATACATGTGTGATCCGAAATGTTTGCAGCGTCTCGCCGCTCTTAACGGTTGCATCGCGTCGCGTTGCGTTCGTTCACGGGGCCGAAGACGCGGCGTCTTCGTTCCGCGAGCCTCGAGAAAAGTCGGTCGTCGCCGTGTTTCCAAACGAAATTCTTCTGACGTCACTGCCTCGAACCGTGCGACACGCGCGAACCGAGACATTCGCCGATCTCTCGGCCGATTGTTTCCGCGCGTACAATGCAAGTCGATCGATAAAACGATATCTGTTCCTTCTTTTCGAGTCGTTCCCATCACCGGAATCTTACCGATATGCTCGGCCACCAAAGCAGCGTAGCAATTAATAAACGGGTCGCCTACTAATGAACACTGAAATTTTTGTCATCCACTGCGAACAAAAGGCTACTCGAGACTGTCGACTGACACACGGTTAACCAATCAACGCGTTAACCGGTTGGCTGTGTTCGACGAGTATACTCGTCGTCGCTTATGGCGCGCCCTCTGACAAGATGGCGCCGCAGCTAACCGGTTAAAATCGACGACCAATAAGCGGGGGTTTCTCGAGAAGCGTCCCGAAAGCGACAGCCGTTTCGTTCGTACCTCCGATCAATTATTTGGATCAACACTGTGCGACGATTTCGTCTGAAATTGTTGTTTAACCCTTTGGAGTCTATCGGGATATATAACATGTAACCACATAACCTCTCAGTTCGACGGCGAAGTCATGGCAACGCTAACAAAATCAACATTTCTTGTTATTAGCGTCTACGTGTACGTAAAACTTGACTTCAGATGTAACGCAAATTAACGAAAAATTAACTCCAAAGTGTTAACAGGAAATCGTCGAGCTTCTCTCTTGGATGCAGCACGATCATCGAGAAGCTTATTAATATTGAATTCTCCCTAATTTTCCTACAGCTTGTAAACAAAAGTGGACAATTTGGGAAGAGAAGATACGATTATTCGAGGCAAGCGACGGGAACACGGAGCAAGATGGACGACGAAACGGCTCGTCGAAACTCGCGCATGCGCGCGAACCGTGTCTGCTTTCCCAAGGGCGCCGGTCTCGCCGAACGAAGCACGGACAAATTCGAGCGTTCATTAGTGGATGATCCTCTCTACGGTTAAAAGTCTGCGGGTCTATTTCCCTCGCACTAAGGACTAAGGAAAAGAGAAAGGTCGCTTAAAAAGCGCGGCGGAGAAGAGAAACCGGAACAGACACCGCGAACGGACCTTCTGCGACTTCTCTGAACAGCGGAAATCGAGCGTACTTCATCAGACAGCGAGATTTTGCATTTATAGATAACGGCGCGCGGCGCTGTCCTGCTTGAAGAAGTGAAGAAACCGTCGGCGCGTTTTCGCGAACGTTCTAAATTCGAGTGGGAAACGCAGTCTGCGATCGCGCCTCGTCTACGACGATACATAGAAGGGTACGGGTGTCAAAGATTGTGCTACGGTATGCTCGATATAATATAAAAGTCACAGAAACGGTTGCGCGATTTGTTGCTCGCGACGCGACACAGATGGCGCGCACGTATTTTAATTACCATGCAGTATTGTAAGCGTGATTCGATATGCTTCAGCGTTCGGAGAGCGTGGATCACCGCAACATCTCTTCGACGCGTTTCCATCTAATACTTTAAAATTGCACGCAATTAGCGACTAACCTGCGTACGGCAAATTCGCGGATCTAGCGTTCGAACGGTAGCCTAAACGAGCGTGAAATGCGACGGCTCCTAACCTGTTCGTTCGCACGAATCAACTGTCAGAGATAGTTTCGTTTCGTTTCATTTCGTTTCCTGTCTGCGATTCGAATTTGGATTCCGGAAACCGCAGGCGGCACGCATTCGATGCGATTGTTCGTATAATATGTATACACGGTTGCGTGGACGGATAAGATAATAATAGTGTGTCACGCATCGAATGCACAGGAAACATTACATTCTCTTCTTCCTCTCTTTCTTTTTTTTCTTTCTTTTTTCCCTTTCAGTTGATTCTCTCGCGTCGATTCTCCGGATCGTTGACCGCGAAAGCGGTTATATTTTTATTTTTTTATATGTTCTTTTTCTATCTTTTCTTTTTCTTTTTTACAAAACGATAAGATACAAAGTCTTTTGCTTATAATAATCCCGGCGTACTAACGGCAATTAACAGAGGAGAACAATCAGAGAGAACTAAAACGACCAAGCTTGTCTGCGGCTAAGAGAGTTTTTTTTTCACATAACATTACGGTACGTACAGCAAAGATTCGACCGAGGTCGGCGGAAACGGAAAGAAAAGGATTCGGCAAACTGAAGATTATCTATCTAATGACTTGCTATACGTATTGGGGATGGTATTAAGTGGCTTGTTTATTGCGTACCTGTCGTTACCGTGCCTGAACAACGCTAGAATTTCTTCGAATGTTTTATTCTTGGTCTCGGGAACCTTCTTGTACGTGAAGATCCAGAAGATGGCTAGGAATGCACTGAATGGTAGGAACGTGTAGTTTTCAAGGCTAGTCTGTAACAGAGAGCCGCGTCGAAACGAATCGATGAAATCAGTTCGTTCGTTAGTACAATTAATGTTGGTGTTTAACACGTTAAGCGCGGAGCTGATTTTCCTGGGTTCTCCGTTCAGGGCGGGAGGCCGGCATTATTTTTTAACCCTTTACTCTACGTCTCTCAGACGTGATAACCATTTCTGGTTCGATTTTTTGACCACGTCTCTCAGACGTGATAATCATTTTTGGCTCGATTTTTTTACCACATCTCTCAGACGTGATAATCATATTTGGCACGATTTTTTGACCACGTCTCTCAGACGTGATAATGATTTCTGGCCCAATTGTCTGACCACGTCTCTCAGACGTGGTTATGGGGCAAAGGGTTAACCTTGATACCGCCGGCCTTGTACACTGATGAGGTCCAAACGATAGGTTCGCTGTCAGTCCCGCGTTTAACGTGTTAATATTTATAAAAAATCTTTTTTTTATAATTTAATAATTTAATAAGGATCTTTCGTTCGTTAAATCAACATAACGTTGACAATAGATTAAAATGAGCTCGGCAAGCTTGAAATCCGAGGTGGCTTCTTTTGTCGAATATTTGACTTTATATATATTGACATTAATATTATATTATAATATTATATAATAAATATAATACAAATAATATTATTATAAAAAAAAATATATATATATTATATTATTATAATATACATATATTGTAATATATATTATTATTATTATTATATATATTATTTGACTTTATGTAATTATTGTATATATATATTATATAAAGTCAAATAATAAATATTATAATAATAATAATAATATTATATATATATAATATAATAATATAATTTGACATTAAAGGAGAAATGTAGGATTACCTTCATACTCGGGAAACCAATGCCAACCAAAAAATTAGCCATCCAATTGACAAGAACCGCGATCGACATGGCGGCGGGTCTGGGCCCCTGGGAGAACAGCTCGGCCGTGATCATCCATGGTATAGAGCCGGGCCCAACGGCGAAGAACACCACGAAACTTAGCGTGGACACGACCGACAGATAAGACATCCAGTCAATCATTTCCTGCACATAACCGAAAAACTCCTATCAGGCAGTAGAATCGTGTTCTTCTTTCCTGAGCAGCCGGAGGAGTCTCTCTCAGGATCAACAGAAAAATCATTAATAACCTACGGAACTGAATGGAGACAGAAATAAACGAATGAAACGAAAAAAGTAAAGCATGCACTGGTGCAGCTCAACCCTGTGTCTTTAAGGCTTGATGATGCGACTGCAACAATGCGAACGTGCTCTTCTTATGTACAATTAACACGGTATGCAGGGTGTCCGAAAAATGTCTCGCAATCCGGAAATGGCGGGTTCCTCGGATCATTTGAAGCAGCTTCTTCCTTTACAAAAATTTTCTCCGAAGCACCGTTAACGAGTTATTAACGAAAAACAGCGACCAATAAGAGTCGAGTACGGCTGACGCGAGGCGGCCCAGCCAACCAACGCGCGAAGCCCAGTTCTGCTCATTGGCTCGGTCGCCTCCCGCCAGCCGAGCTCGCCTCTCATTGGTCACTGTTTTTCGTTAATAACTCGTTAATGGTGCCTCGGAGAAAATTTTTGTAAAGGAAAAAGTTGCTTCAAATGACCTGAGGAACCCGCCATTTTCTGATTGCGAGACATTTTTGGGACACCCTTTATATCGTCACTCTTCGACTTTCTCTCTCGCCGTTCCCTTTCGTTTCTCGCTTCGTCTCGCTCCCGTTTCCGTTACAAGCGATGGAAGCATGGACTGGCAACATTTGCGTCGCGAGGATCGACCCGGGACAAACAACCCGTTGCATTCTTGGACCTCGGTTAAAATCACAGAAGTACACATGTTGTTGTGTTACGTCACAAACACGGCAGACATATACGATTTTTCGTGTTATTGCAGAGAAAACGTTGGTGTGTCGCGTGGAACAGGATACACGTTTCGTCGATTTCTGCGATCACGACGCCTGGTGTCGGGAAATCGAAGCTCCGAGTAATCTCACGTATCGAATTCGGTTTCGAACTTGGTTTATGATTCGTTTCGTCTTGGAACAATTTGGATGTGTTTATATTGGACTGCAGATTTCATGGGTTTAAGATGAAAATGACATGACGACGTTTGAGGTAGTCGAAATACTTTGTGTGAATTTAGTGTGAATTTAATGTGAATTTAATGTGAATTTAATATGTGAATTTATATGATATTTCTGATTTATTAAGATCGTTGACAGAAAGAGGAGGTATTTTTTACAGCTGATGCAGAATATGTGTATTTTGGATGAAAATCCACAGTGCAGTTATTTTATTTGTAATATGACTTTAATGTATCATATTATATTTGCAACGTGTGTGTGTGATCTTAATGTATCATGTTATATTTGTAATATGACTAATGTATCATATTATATTTGTAATATGACTTGAATATATCATATTATATTTGTAATATGACTAATATATCATATTATATTTGTTATACGATTTTAAAGTACTACATATTTGCAATGAAACCTTAATATATCATATTATATTTGTAATATGACTTTAATGTATCATATTACATTTTTAATATGACTAATGTATCATATTATATTTTTAATATGACTAATGTATCATATTATATTTTTAATATGACTAATGTATCATATTATATTTGTAATACGACTAATGTATCATATTACATTTTTAATATGACTAATATATCATATTATATTTGTTATAGGATGTTAATGTATCACATATTTGCAATGAAACCTTAATATATCATATTATATTTTTAATATGACTTTAATGTATCATATTACATTTTTAACATGACTAATGCATCATATTATATTTGTTGTACGATTTTAATGTGTCATATATTTGCAATGAGACCTTAATATATCATGTTATATTTGTAACACGACTTTAACATATCACATCATATTTTCAATGTGACTGTACGTGTTCCATGCAATTTTTAATACCACGTTACTGCACGATACAATATTTGCAATACGACATTAACGTATAATACAATATCTGCAGGCGATCGTAAAGTATTATAGCTTGGTTCGTAACCGACGCACATATAATTTGTAACCTCGCGTATACTAATTTCATTTTTCATTTGTCATTGCTTTGTAACACGCGAATGCGCCTCGCCCGGGTAAACAAGCGTGTTACATTTATTGGAGTAGAAATGCGAAGTAAACACGAAGGAATAGTCTAGAGACTCGCGTTGATAAACAATTATCGCTGAAACAGGGGGAAACAAACAAACATCCAACGATCACCGGGGACCGCGAGTTTACAGCAATTACGGTATTAGCGGTGTGAATCGGCAAATACCTTGAAACGATACGGTACGCGCGGCGCGGCGCGGCGTTGCTGAAAATGCGTCCGGAAGGTGTACCAAGCGTATATACGTGAAATTACTCAGCACCCTGTTCTATGTGACCGCCGAAAACAAGTTGGGTAAGTGTAGGTGCTACTGCGAAAATTTCATAGAGAAAATAACGCCAATTCACGCCAATAAATTGACGACACGAGCCTGAACCTATTATTCTTTTACTCAAACATTTTACTTTTCCCAAAATATTGGATCTCTGAAAGCACAAATTTCATTAAAAAGCGTAACGTAAAGAAACCACACGTGTGCATATACAGAGTGTCCCAAAAATGTCTCGCAATCCGGAAATGGCGGGTTCCTCAGGTCATTTGAAGCAACTTCTTCCTTTACAAAAATTTTCTCTGAAGCACCGTTAACGAGTTATTAACGAAAAACTGTGACCAATAAGAATCGAGTACGGCTGACGCGAGGCGGCCCAGCCAACCGGCGCGCGAAGCCCAGTTCCGCTCATTGGCTCAGTCGCCTCGCGCCAGCCGAGCTCGCCTCTCATTGGTCACTGTTTTTCGTTAATAACTCATTAACGGTGTCTCGAAGAAAATTTTTGAAAAGGAAGAAGTTGCTTCAAATGACCTGAGGAACCCGCCACTTTCGGATTGCGAGACATTTTTGGGACACCCTGTAGAAATAAATAGAAATACTGCGTTAGTAAATAATATTTGAGGTTAGATTACACAGTATTTATACTGTGTTAGTGAATAATATTTGAGGTTAGATGACAGTGTACGTCGCCTTTTGATCAAACTAACGATTACTTTATCTCAAAATAACGCTAATTATAGCGTTATTATTAATTACCAAAACATAAATGCCTTTCGAATCAGCGTTCACAGCTGTCGTTATGAGTATTTCATGAGACCCAACGTTTTCATAAGTTTCCGAATTATCGAATGTTAATTTAATTTCAATGAATGAAACAAATTGTCAATAAATTATCAATATTAAATATATAAAAAATTATGAGATTCATTCTTAGAAGTTCACACGCTATAAAATGTTGCATTTTACTACTTTTATAAAATACCGCAGTATTTCGGGCGTCCGCAATAATACCCACACTTACCCTAGGTACAATCGACACGTCGAGTTCGAGTGGTGCGAGGAGAACGCAGTCGTGCTTTGAAAATCGCTCGTTTCTCATCCTGCCAAACAGCGATCAGTATCGTCGCGCAATTAATATAATAATAATTAATAATCGTGCCGCGAATATTAATATAATAACAGGGTTCCAAGAACCCTGCCGCATTGCTTTCACTGCATCGGCGCTGCTCGAAAAGAAAATCTGAATTTCGTCGATCACCTCTTTTATGCAATTTCTAATTACAATTTTTATTTCGCTATATACAGAGTGTCCCAAAAATGTCTCGCAATCCGGAAACAGCGGGTTCCTCGGATCATTTGAAGCAACTTCTTCCTTTACAAAAATTTTCTCCGAGGCGCCGTTAACGAGTTATTAACGAAAAAACAGTGACCAATAAGAATCGAGTACGGCTGACGCAAGGCGGCCCAGCCAACCAACGCGCGAAGCCCAGTTCCGCTCATTGGCTCGGTCGACTCGCGCCAGTCGAGCTCGCCTCTCATTGGTCACTGTTTTTTCGTTAATAACTCGTTAACGGCGCCTCGGAGAAAATTTTTGTAAAGGAAGAAGTTGCTTCAAATGACCCGAGGAACCCGCCACTTTCGGATTGCGAGACATTTTTGGGACACTCTGTATATACTTATGACAGCGAATGGACCGTCCGCGGTCCACTTATGACAGCAATTCCTCGAAAACAGTGCGAACAACGCGGTCTACAAAATATCAATAATCTTGACACGTTCGGTATTGTCCTAATTAGATTATGATTGTACTGAAAAAACGTTTGCTAAGATAGGCGATTACTAAGGACAGGCGAAACGTTTCGCGATCGTCTCGAAAATTGGCCCATTCGTTTTTGTTCCCGAGCGATTTTCGAAGCGCAAACTCCCTCCCTATATCCTCCTCGTTCTAAAAGCAATTGAGGTGCCTCGTGGTGTGTGTATGTATTTGCAGAGACATAAAAGCTACACACAAAACGAGAAGTATATCGGAAAGAGGAAGCTGTATTCCCCTCGCGCAGAAGACATTGATGGAACCCGAGTGTACGGACAGGATATTCTAGGAGGCTGGAGAGCAACGCGAATATGAATCGGAAATATAATAAGCGAAGCTTTTTTTCTTTTCTTTTCTTCGGGTCACGTTGTCGAGATAAAAGAGATTCGACGTTCGAGATCACAATTGTCATACGAGAACGTCGTATGGAACGGTTCGAGCATTTCGACTGACTTTCGCTGCGACAATCGCTGGCGAACCTTGACATAACCTAGAACATCCTGTATAATGTCCTGAAACTTGATCAAACTCTGTGGACAGTTTCCATGAATAGAATATGGTTCTTTGTGGCAAATCAGAATCATTGGCCACGTGATCCGAAAACATATTTACTGTACGGATAAATAAATTAATGATAAATAAATATATATAAAATATAAAATAAATAAATAAATATATATATATAAAATATATGACTAACTAAATAAATATATAAAATACAAAATATATGACTAATCAAATATATATATATATATATATATATATTATAAAATATAAAATATAAAATATATGGCTAACTAAATAAATATATGAAATATAAAATATATGACTATCTAAATAAATAAATATATATAAAATATAAAATAAATAAATAAATAAACATAAAATATAGAATACGTGAATCGAATGATTTACAATTTGCGCCAACAGAGTCGGGACCGTTTCGGACACCTCGTACACGGATATCGAGTTAGTACGACGAACGAGAGGAATAATGATGTGTTCGGTGGCTCTTGTGGCTCCTCGGAATCTATCGTCCCGTTCGTTTGTCTCGTCATTTAAATAATTCCGGCTTCGCGGAAGGTCTGCGTCCGAGAGTAGCAAACCATTCGACCGCTTGTACAACGCCCGGCCACGCGGTTGAAGAGACGCGAACGGATTATTCGGAGCAAATTTCGTTTCTGCATGTAACAATCGAACCGACAGTATGCAACATGACGAAGGGGTGACAGGTTTGAGCCGAATAGAATGTATACTAATAACAAAGGGAGTTAATCGTCTCCTCCAGGCAGTCACGAAAGAGGCCGTTGTGAACAGGGAGGGAGGGACAGGGGGACGGGGAAACAGAGAAAAAGGGGTAGCAGTAAGAAGCAGAATCGTTTAGAATGCCTAAGCAACCAAATAAAACCGCATGCGACGAGTATTTGACACACAGATGTATTAAACAGATTCGGTCGTTCGGTATAGATTCCGACACGTGTAAGGATTCGTACTTAGAAGGTACAGTGGACAACAAAAGTGTTCGCACGCCTTTTAAAACGCGATAACTTTCTTGAGACTGGACTAAGCGACTCGAATTTTTTTTAGAATTTTTCTAGAATTCTTCTAGAATTTTTTAGAATTTTCCCAGAATTTTCCTAAAATTTTCCTAGAATTTTCCTAGAATTTTTCTAGTCTACCAGGAGATGACTAAAATTCTTTTTTTAAATTTTACTATTACTTGGAATGGCTTTGAATTGAAAAGATAAAATATTATCAGAATTATCAGAACAATGCGCGATAAATACAATCAATTCGCTTCGAAATTATTTTAGAGACAACTTGATCGTTAAAAAATAATGTATCACGACTGAATCATCGTTCCACGAGAGTGAATGTTGACAACGCTCCGCGAACCACCATCGAGGAGTTACCATAACGTGAACACGTAGACCGAAACATTAGGCTCGTGTCAAGGTACCGACTATATACAGGGTGGTCGATAAATTGGCGGTACAACCGAAAGAAACGACATATACGATATGCGAACACAACTTGAGAAAAGAAGGAGTAAGAGTAATAAGTTAGATAGATGCGCGAGAAGTAGAATTAGTCTACCATGAGTCAAACGATCCCTGCTCGACAGTATTACTAAATTCTCCGTAATTCGCGCTCAGGTTACGCGCGAAAATGGACAGTTTGGGAAGAGGAGACACGATTATTCGAGTCTTGCGGCTCGCTTTTTATAGTTACCGATTTTGTCGACATCTATAAAAACGAGCCGCAACTATTATACAATATATTATACAATATTATATATTATATATATTATATTATATTATATTATATATATATATTATATTATATATATTATAAATTACCGATTTTTTCAGTAACTATAAAACCGAGCTAAAAAGACCCAAATAATAGTATCTCCTTCTCCCCAAATTGTCCCTTTTTGTGCGCAATGCGAGCGTCAATTACGGAGAAATTACTGGAATTTCTCTGGAGAACAAAAAATCCAAAATAAAAGAATATTCTTCTTTTCTTCTCGATTTCTATTCGCACGCGGTACGTCTCTCGTTTCGATCACGCCGCCAGTCACCGACCACCCCGTACACACACAGATACACACACAAGTACACACACACAAGTAGACACACAAAGATAATCTTTCGCAACGAAAGAATAACGTGCAGGAAACGGGGGGAAGAACAGACCTTACAAGTTACATGAATGTTCGGGATTAAATTAAAATGAGTCATCGGATGCAAGTTTATATACGTAAAGTGGTGATAATTCTCACTGTCGGTGCAGTGCTGCACTCCAGCTGTGAACAAAGTGTTAGATACACCTTTTGCCAAGGTGCATGAAGAGTGACAAAGCACAAAGAGACAGCTATATACAAATCCACGTTCATTGTGGTGTACTTAAATGTCCTACGAGACCTAATTTCACCCTCCCGCCCCCCGCCCCACCCACCCCTCGCGACTTTCTACGCCAGAGACGTTAATACCCCACCTCCCCCTCCTCCCCCCTCTACAGTGATACAATTCCCTGTCTTGGAAGCGAATATCTTTCTCGTTTCAACTCGATCCTTGACATTTCTCCGTGCGCGACAATTGCCGTTATATATATACGTGTACCGCACGTAAGACGGTGTTTCGTTCTGACCGCGAGCGCGAGCGCGTCGAGGATCGTCGTTATGTTCCTTACACATGTATGTATGCATGTATGTATGTAACGCGTGGCATGTACAGGGTGTCCCAAAAATGTCTCGTAATCCGGAAATGGCGGGTTCCTCGGATCATTTGAAGCAGCTTCTTCCTTTACAAAAATTGTCTCCGTGGCACCGTTAACGAGTTATTAACGAAAAACAGTGACCAATAAGAATACGGCTGACGCGAGGCGGCCCAGACAACCAGCGCGCGAAGCCCAGTTCCGCTCATTGGCTCGGTCGCCTCGCGCCAGCCGAGCTCGCCTCTCATTGGTCACTGTTTTTCGTTAATAACTCGTTGACGGTGCCTCGGGGAAAATTTTTGTAAAGGAAAAAGTTGCTTCAAATGACCCGAGGAACCCGCCACTTTTGGATTGTGAGACATTTTTGGGACATCCTGTATATGCGCGCGACGTATATGCGACTGTATATGTTTATACTTCTACACGAGGAAAAACATCGGGCGCACGAAACTTGAACTTACCTTTATGAGAAAAGAAATTGTGATGAATATTGAAAAGATAAACATGCCACCAAGACCGTATAAGTGAAGCGTACGTCTTCCGGTTCTATCCATAAGCGGGATGGATACTAACGTCATACAAACCATAATGGCACCTATGCCAATGGTTGCAAACTTGGCACTCTCCTCTGTCAAGCCAGAACTAGTGAACAAATTCGTCGAATAGTAAAACACCTGGAACAGAGAGACAGAGACAGCACAGATTTAGAGGGCTGTTTTTTTCTTATGGAACTGTTGCTTGCTCGACCGCTTTCCGCTGCCGCGCTCTGACAAATTTGGGAACTTCGTCGAATTCGAGCGCAGTTTTAGCTAGTTTCAGCGACATTTATAATGGAAATTTAAAGAAACATCGGGTTTGTGTATTTTTATATTATATATACGTTACATTATATATTTAATATATTTAAATATAATATTTCAAATTTCATTTCAATCATCATTTCGAATTTAATATTTAATGTATTTAATTACATGTTATATATGTTTCTGATATAATATAATGATAGTTTGTATGATTTCTAATACAGAGATATAGAAATACACCAAGGCCAAGATATTTTGTGTTATTTCTAACACAGAAATATACAAAGATGATATTTCATGTGATTTCCAGTATAGAAAATATATAAATACGATATTTTGTATTATTTCTAATATTGAAATACACAAATATAATATTTTATATTATTTCTAATATTGAAATATATTAAGATAATATTTTATATTATTTCTGATATAGAAATATACAAATACGATATTTTGTATTATTTCTAATACTGAAATATACAAATACAATATTTTGTATGATTTCCAATATAGAAATATATAAATATGATATTTTGTATCATTTCTAATACTAAAATATACAAATACAATATTTTGTATAATTTCTAATATAGAAATATGTAAATATGATATTTTGTATCATTTCTAATACTAAAATATACAAATACAATATTTTGTATAATTTCTAATATAGAAATATGTAAATATGATATTTTGTATCATTTCTAATACTAAAATATACAAATACAATATTTTGTATAATTTCTAATATAGAAATATGTAAATATGATATTTTGTATCATTTCTAATACTAAAATATACAAATACAATATTTTGTATAATTTCTAATATAGAAATATGTAAATATGATATTTTGTATCATTTCTAATACTAAAATATACAAATACAATATTTTGTATAATTTCTAATATAGAAATATGTAAATATGATATTTTGTATCATTTCTAATACTAAAATATACAAATACAATATTTTGTATAATTTCTAATATAGAAATATGTAAATATGATATTTTGTATCATTTCTAATACTAAAATATACAAATACAATATTTTGTATAATTTCTAATATAGAAATATGTAAATATGATATTTTGTATCATTTCTAATACTAAAATATACAAATACAATATTTTGTATAATTTCTAATATAGAAATATGTAAATATGATATTTTGTATCATTTCTAATACTAAAATATACAAATACAATATTTTGTATAATTTCTAATATAGAAATATGTAAATATGATATTTTGTATCATTTCTAATACTAAAATATACAAATACAATATTTTGTATAATTTCTAATATAGAAATATGTAAATATGATATTTTGTATCATTTCTAATACTAAAATATACAAATACAATATTTTGTATAATTTCTAATATAGAAATATGTAAATATGATATTTTGTATCATTTCTAATACTAAAATATACAAATACAATATTTTGTATAATTTCTAATATAGAAATATGTAAATATGATATTTTGTATCATTTCTAATACTAAAATATACAAATACAATATTTTGTATAATTTCTAATATAGAAATATGTAAATATGATATTTTGTATCATTTCTAATACTAAAATATACAAATACAATATTTTGTATAATTTCTAATATAGAAATATGTAAATATGATATTTTGTATCATTTCTAATACTAAAATATACAAATACAATATTTTGTATAATTTCTAATATAGAAATATGTAAATATGATATTTTGTATCATTTCTAATACTAAAATATACAAATACAATATTTTGTATAATTTCTAATATAGAAATATGTAAATATGATATTTTGTATCATTTCTAATACTAAAATATACAAATACAATATTTTGTATAATTTCTAATATAGAAATATGTAAATATGATATTTTGTATCATTTCTAATACTAAAATATACAAATACAATATTTTGTATAATTTCTAATATAGAAATATGTAAATATGATATTTTGTATCATTTCTAATACTAAAATATACAAATACAATATTTTGTATAATTTCTAATATAGAAATATGTAAATATGATATTTTGTATCATTTCTAATACTAAAATATACAAATACAATATTTTGTATAATTTCTAATATAGAAATATGTAAATATGATATTTTGTATCATTTCTAATACTAAAATATACAAATACAATATTTTGTATAATTTCTAATATAGAAATATGTAAATATGATATTTTGTATCATTTCTAATACTAAAATATACAAATACAATATTTTGTATAATTTCTAATATAGAAATATGTAAATATGATATTTTGTATCATTTCTAATACTAAAATATACAAATACAATATTTTGTATAATTTCTAATATAGAAATATGTAAATATGATATTTTGTATCATTTCTAATACTAAAATATACAAATACAATATTTTGTATAATTTCTAATATAGAAATATGTAAATATGATATTTTGTATCATTTCTAATACTAAAATATACAAATACAATATTTTGTATAATTTCTAATATAGAAATATGTAAATATGATATTTTGTATCATTTCTAATACTAAAATATACAAATACAATATTTTGTATAATTTCTAATATAGAAATATGTAAATATGATATTTTGTATCATTTCTAATACTAAAATATACAAATACAATATTTTGTATAATTTCTAATATAGAAATATGTAAATATGATATTTTGTATCATTTCTAATACTAAAATATACAAATACAATATTTTGTATAATTTCTAATATAGAAATATGTAAATATGATATTTTGTATCATTTCTAATACTAAAATATACAAATACAATATTTTGTATAATTTCTAATATAGAAATATGTAAATATGATATTTTGTATCATTTCTAATACTAAAATATACAAATACAATATTTTGTATAATTTCTAATATAGAAATATGTAAATATGATATTTTGTATCATTTCTAATACTAAAATATACAAATACAATATTTTGTATAATTTCTAATATAGAAATATGTAAATATGATATTTTGTATCATTTCTAATACTAAAATATACAAATACAATATTTTGTATAATTTCTAATATAGAAATATGTAAATATGATATTTTGTATCATTTCTAATACTAAAATATACAAATACAATATTTTGTATAATTTCTAATATAGAAATATGTAAATATGATATTTTGTATCATTTCTAATACTAAAATATACAAATACAATATTTTGTATAATTTCTAATATAGAAATATGTAAATATGATATTTTGTATCATTTCTAATACTAAAATATACAAATACAATATTTTGTATAATTTCTAATATAGAAATATGTAAATATGATATTTTGTATCATTTCTAATACTAAAATATACAAATACAATATTTTGTATAATTTCTAATATAGAAATATGTAAATATGATATTTTGTATCATTTCTAATACTAAAATATACAAATACAATATTTTGTATAATTTCTAATATAGAAATATGTAAATATGATATTTTGTATCATTTCTAATACTAAAATATACAAATACAATATTTTGTATAATTTCTAATATAGAAATATGTAAATATGATATTTTGTATCATTTCTAATACTAAAATATACAAATACAATATTTTGTATAATTTCTAATATAGAAATATGTAAATATGATATTTTGTATCATTTCTAATACTAAAATATACAAATACAATATTTTGTATAATTTCTAATATAGAAATATGTAAATATGATATTTTGTATCATTTCTAATACTAAAATATACAAATACAATATTTTGTATAATTTCTAATATAGAAATATGTAAATATGATATTTTGTATCATTTCTAATACTAAAATATACAAATACAATATTTTGTATAATTTCTAATATAGAAATATGTAAATATGATATTTTGTATCATTTCTAATACTGAAATATATGAATACAATATTTTGTATCATTTCTAATATAGAAATATAAAAATATGATATTTTGTATCATTTCAGAAATATACAAATACAATATTTTGTATCATTTCTAATACAGAAATACACAAATATAATATTTCATATAATTTTTGATACAGAAATATACAATTATAATATTTCGTATAATTTCTAATACAGAAATATACAAATATGTCATTACATATAATTTCCAATGCAGAAATATGCAAATAAATTGAAAGTAACTAATATTATTCTATATATATATATTATATTATATAGAATATATTATATGTTATATAGAATAATAACGTATAATATTAAAATAACAATAATAACAATTATCATAATAATAATAATAATAATAATAATCTTATCTTTTCTACCCATATTTTCCAATTTCGTGCGCGATCTAAGCGCGAATTAAAAATAAATTATCATAATCTCCTATCTCCTCTCCCGAAATTGTCCAATCATGTTCCAAAGCTGAAGGAAAATTCGGGAGAATTTACTGTACACGCATAAGCGACGCGGCAGCGGAAGCGTCAAAGAATAGCAGCCGGTCCAGCGGGCCGACAATTCAAATTTCATGGAGCTTAATGCAGGGGTGGGGGATTTACGAGGCTGGCTACTTACAGCATTAATGCCTGAAAGCTGTTGGGAAAGTTGCATAACCACCCCGATAACGAGCGGCGCTCTCAGCGTCGGGCTACATATGAGCTCTGTCATCGATATTCTAGACTCGGCTTGTTGAGCCCGTTCTTCGGCTCTCATTTCCTCGATGTCTTCTTCCACTTCGTTACTCGCTCTCAACCTTCTCAGAGCTTTACGAGCCTCCTCCTCCCACTGTTTGGTAATGAGCAAATATCTGCGGGAAAACAGAGTGCACAGTGAGAAACCGGCCGGTGCGTTCAGACGGTGCGGCGACGACGACGACGACGACGACGACGACAGCGGCGACGACGACCACGACCACGACCACGACGAAATAATTGCGAACACGGGCAGGCTATATACGCGCCCGTTGCGAAAGGGCTGGTAATATGGCGGCCTTGCGGGCCAGCGTTTCGCGCGGCAATTAACCTTTTGCACTCGAAGCTGTTCTAACTGTAAATCTAACATAATCTTTTCTGGCTTATAGCATTTTCATTTTATACGACAGAAAAATTAGTGTCGCCCAGTTTTGTCACCAAATTAGCGTCACCAAAAATTAGCGTGACCGACGAGGTGCCGAACGTGTTAAATAACCTTGACATTTCGCCGAAAACCGAAGTAACCAGTAATTTTTCAGATCAAATTTTGAAAATATACGCGTACATATTTTTTATATCATCTTTTACGCTGCATCGAATTATGCGAAAATTAATTTTCCAACTTTTATTTCTTTGCCGAGAAAAATCGCTTTATTCTTCTGTGAAGAAATGATCAGATCGAGAAATCTATGCACGATTTTCTTCAGCTTTTGTTTTTATACCGTTAGACAAAGCACAGGAAAAATTTTAGAGCGAATGTTTTTCACTTTTGTTAATAACGTGTCCAGTCCAAAGCCGAGAAGCAAGAATAAATAAAATAAATCATCCTGATAATAACGCAAACAATGAAGTCAACGATTGGCATGGTTAACCCTTTCACGGGCGCAATACGAATTTTCAAGAATATAATTCAATACAATATAAATTTTTAACAAGAATATTTGAGCCTGGCGGTCCAGAACGTGTGTGTGTGTGTGTGTGTGTGTGTGTGTGTGTGGCGCTAAAAGTGGAATATATCTGTATAATATCCATATAAGGCGCTTCCCAGTGCCTACGAAAGGGTTAACCAACGTTTCCGTCGTAAAATTAACAATCGCGAGATAGCTATATTACCATCCCTTCCTCAAACGATTCATCGATACCTTAGCCCCTCGATATTTGCCTCTGAACTGGATCCACTGTTGAACTATTATAGCAGGGGTGGCCAAAGGTCAACCGTGTAAGTATCTCTAGTCTCCCTCCGGTTTGATATTATCAATGTTTATTTTAAATTGAAGCTTATTTTTGACCTTAAATTGCTACTTTTCTTACTATTCTTGGATGGCTTATCTTAGTTTTAGGAATTTATATTACCGCCATCTCCGAAATTTTTTCTAAAATCTAAAATTTCCAAGCCATTATGCCGGCTTTTCTTTTATGTGATACATATAATGTTGAAATATTATCTGCAATAGATAAGTTACAGTGTATAACCATGTTTGGCATTTTAATTGCGACAGGTGTCACTGTTTGTATTGACGATGGTAATAATACAAAATTTTAGATATTGACATTTCTTTTAAATTATATATATATATATATATATATAATTTAATAATAATAATATTAAAAATATTGTTAATTAATAAATTAACATAATTAATTTTAATTTTATATATATATATATATATATATATATATCTCAATTTGAGCGACAATTGCCGATCACCGGTGACCCCTGTGACATTCAACGTGTTAAAAAAAAAGAAAAAAGAACACGTCGCCCATAGTGCTCGAAAGTATGGCCACCCCTGTATTATAGCAACGAGGCGCGGTGGACGCTTCGATTCGCGGCGTCCAATTAGTTAAGTCGAATAATTAACTATCCGGAAAGAAAGCGATCGGCCTAACGGCGAATTTCAGCGCAAGCCGTACACAGTCGGTATGCTAGCGAGGATCGCAACAGCGAGCGCAGGAGCCGGGGATAACAACGCTTTGGATCAATATCGATGCCGTCAGGTCATCGATTCAGGTCAGATACCGAGGGACTACACACGTTTGGATACCATTGACTCGATACGGCGATGCTACGCTGGCGATGGTGATTCTACCTTGGTGATTCGGGGCAAACTGGAAGCAGCAATAACTGTAGAATCGCCGGGCAGATAGCTAGCCCTAAGAGAACCGGCCAACCATCGTTTGTCCCAAGGATTTGCTCGATGCCCAGCACCTGGGAGACCAGGAGACCCACCGTAACAGCGAGCTGGTTCACCGTGCCTAGGCCGCCTCTCAGGTTCAGCGGTGCTATCTCCGATATGTACATGGGAACCAATGAGGTGTTTAAGCCACAATTGACACCGATGATGAACCGTCCAAAGAACAACATTTCGTACGAGTGAGCAATCTTTGTGCAACCCATCAGGCACGCCCCCACGATGCCCAGCACGTTGTTTAGCAGTAAGCCCCCCTTTCTGTCGGCGAACGTAAAACAAAAACAAAAAATGGTCAACGATGTAATGTGGTCGATCGGCAGATTATCGTTACCTGCCAGCACACGTCTCATCACGCACGATTCACATTTTGTTATAATATGTACAGAAATAGAGAGAGAAAGAGAGAGAGAGAGACAGAGACAGAGAGAGAGAAAGAGAGAGAGAGAGAGAGAGAGAGAGAGAAGAATATAGTCTGGCTGGCATACACACAGAACAGGGGTTTAGCGGATTTACCGGCATATCGATATTCAATTCAGAGTGTCGTACAAACCTGCCAAATCTGTTGGCAATTATTCCACCGCTAAAACCACCTAGCATACCACCGATCGCAAATATGCTTACGGCCACCGAGTACAATTTCTTCACGGAGTCGTCGGATATGTCCTCCCCGTACCGGTCCTTGTACACGTCTTTCATGAAATTCTCAATGTTCTGAAACAGGGTTAGATCGGTTAAACTCCGTGGCGACAACGGACGCGCGAATTTTAAACGGATACTTAGACGGTAACTAGGAGAGCTCCCCAGGGCTGATACGCTCGCTTTTCGATGAGATTTGGCGCCAGCGACGAAGAGCTCGTGAAGCTGAATCCAATGATACCCGATTTTGCGGGCAGGCGGCTCGTAGTTCTCGAGATATTTAACGGTAAAGTTGCGAACGAAAGGCGAGAAAGACGCGCGGGATTACGGCGCGCGGCACCGTGCGGCGGGAGGTGGGGGCAAGCCACCGCGTCGCGAGACCGGATCGAACCCCCCCAACTCTCCCCACTCCGTAATATTTCTGGTGCCGGTACCAGCGCGGAGATAGTATGGAGTGGGAAGAGGTGGGGGGGCTCGATCCGGCCTACCTGAACGCGACGCGTGGCACAACCCTTCGTCTCCTGCCCCGCGATGCCGCGCGACGTAATCCGACGCGTCTTTCGGGCCTTTTATTGGCAACTTTAACGTTAAATATCTCGAGAACCACGAGCCGTCTACCGGCGAAACCCGGTATCTTTGGATTCGGCTTTACGAGCTCTGTCACCGTGCCAAATCTCGTGAAAAAGTGGCTTCGCCTCTGGGGACCTCTCCTTGCAAGTAACAAAGGCATCTTTGTCGAATGCTCAGCTTTCTTTATCGATCTACTCGACAAGTTCGATATGTGTATAGAATAAATGTGTGCGAGACATATATGTTCGAGATGTGCACGCTGCAAAATTGACGCTTCGAGCTCGGGGAATTTTCTTAGATCGGCTGTCAACAACATGTAAGGAGATGATAAAATAGGTCCATGATACGATTATCTTTGTAACATTGATAATATTGATTTTAACATTTTATATTCGTTAGGACGATTTTTCTATGTTTTTTTCTCCAGCAGATGGTGTGTCGATTAATTTATCTTTAACTCTAACATTATGTTCAAGATTTATATTTTAGAGTAAGTAATACAAATCTTATGTTTACTCATTTATAACACCGCTTGATACACCTTCGACGTTAATGATTTTTTTATCATTTTAACCCTTTGCACTGGAATGGTGGCTCTAAGGCGCCACCGAAAATTGCTGTTTAATTTTTTCAAGCAGTTTTTACATTTATTAAATTGATTTACATTTAAATGAAATTTAAATAATGGTATAAATACTAATAAATAAATAATATTATAAAAAAATTAAATAAAATAGAAAATGCACGTCCGTACAAGCAAATAAACTCAATTTATAATAATATAATGATATAATAATAAATAAAAAATGAAAATGCTATTTTTGAAGTTAGATGCTCAGTTTTGAAGTTAAAACAGCTTTGAGTGCAAAGGGTTAATCGAATCTATCAATATAAATATCTGCATATATATATATATATATATATAAATCCATTTTGAAATAATTTAGTCGTCGCGAGAGCGACCTTTTCGAATATTTGATGGTGCATTTAAATAATCCATAGACAGAAGGATGTTGTTCTTATTGTCATTTGTTACCGATCACTCGAATCTTATCCTGTGAATTAATTCGTTGTTATTTCTTACAACTGGTTTTCATTATTCCGTGCTCTCTAAATCAAATTTAGAAAAAAATTGTCTCTTACGACCAAAAATTATTGCTCTACTTCCTTTTTAATTATCCTTGCTATTAACAAAGACTACTTTGAATCGCAAATGAAAAAACATCCCTTCGGCTGATTTCACTCGTGGATAACT